GTTACTAACACCATTCTGTTAAAACATAGTCCTATTATTCAGTATGGTTTTTCTTCAAATATACCAGAATTTTATCTCCAAATGCCACGACGACAAAATCTAGATTAGAAGCCAAAATCATCTGACAACAGTTTAAAATAATAATTGCAAAGAATGGTTCCGAAACTGCTCATAGTTGGCAAGTTGCTGATCACAAAAGCAATATCAGTCTTCAGAATCTGATTCAGTTTGGTCCTGACAGTCAACTTTTGAAAGGCGTTAGGTAAACTTATATAATTGTGTTCCTTTTATGAAATAGAAAAAATTTTTCATTTCAAATTATTGGATATTAGTCAATTGGCCTGAAAGTCTCCTAACATAGAACAGTACAAATCTGAGAAAACCATATATATATGTAAACTTAAGCTTGAGTAATAAATAAACTGTCTTCGCTCTTTCCTTGGTACATTTTATTTTAATAGGAAATGTAATAAGATGGTAATTTACAAATGTCATTACGTTGGTATAAATGTAAACAGGAACACAAATTAACTTCGAAATTTGTTTTTACAGAGGACAGGTCACACAAAGTTGATGCTTTACTGATTAAAATTTTTGGGAGGAAAGAGTGTTTCTTTCCAGCGTAAACTTAATAAACTCAATTATATTAGCAATAAACTAATAGTATTGGCTTGTAGTTGATATTTTCATTAAGTCAGAAAAAATTAGCATTTTAATCCCAACGATGTGCTAATTCAAGGATCCATCAACAGCAGATTCTGATTACTGCGTGTACAGTAGAAGGTAAAATGATAAAAGACAGTTGCATGGGACAAGAATCAACCAAATCAAAATATACAGCCAATTGTCCTGATCATACTTTTGTATTTGTATTAATTGTAAAGTCATCAACAATGTCTACTGATCAATCTCATGTGGCCTAATTCGAAATATGAACTTCTTAAAAAGTCTAAAACCAAAGCACTCTGACACTGATAGAATGGCATCTATCAAATATCAAAACACAGGAGACTAGCTTTCTCCATTATATTTAACTCACATTTCATGATTAAAAGTATAAAGTTTTGTAAAATAGTTGTAAAACTTAAACCACACTGACACTTAACTAACTTAATACTCAGAGAAATTTCAAGTGAAAATGACCCAAATTTTGCCCAGACACCCTAAATGTAAGGTAAAAACATACTTCATAATAAACTGCAAAAGCTATAGATTTCAAACCATAAACTCTATGTATTTAGGCCCAATGGCCTATATAGCTTGTAACACATTTCAGTGTCAGAAATCCAGTGTACACATTCTCCACTGAACTCCAGTCCATGTCGACTCGACGAGTCATTCCAACTTGGCCTCAGTCAATAATATTTGTCCTACATAGGAACCGATTAAATTGAATGTTATTTAATCATCGAAACATATAAAATGTACTTTAACGTTTCGTCAAGAAAGTTTTGACAGTTAGACACAAAACTGGGGATTCTATCCCCATAATAAATAAAAATATTCACCTCATTCGTGTTCACTGTTTACCTCTCCGCCATTTCGCGCGTAGGTTGTAAAACCCGGATGTTTTTAATTACGCATGCGTTAGAAGTATATACAGTTCTAGAAGGAACTCCATAATGTCTTGTCTATCTTTACATTTCGACCGAAAAGCAGATAATTATAATAATATGATCTGTTAGCATACATGGGGTTTAAAAAAAATACGGATTTTCCATCTTGATCCATCAAAGGGGTAGAAGTAAGTCGATTTCTAGCCCTTGATACTGTAGTGTCATAACATAATCCGTTCGTAAATTTGATTGGTCGACACATTATTTCTCGACCGATCAGATCCATTGAAAAAAATAAGGCTACATATTTATTGCACTATATAGGTCTAGTAATAATCAGTAGCTCCTACCCAAGTCCTGGTGGTCCGATGAACTCCGGGCTGCCGTGGATGCTCGCAAGCGGGCTCTACGACGGTTTCAGAGAAAATCGGACCGTTATACCAAGGCAGAATACTTAGCAGTCAAGGCTTCTACAGCTGCTCTGTTGCGTGAAACACAAACAAAGCACTAGCAGGAGTTCTGCAACTCATTAAATGAGAAGACCAACCTAAGATGTGTCTGGGGTAAAATAGACTCATTGCTTGGTAAAAAATCTAATTCTTCCATTCCAACTCTTTGTTACAGGGATTCCACAGAATACAGCAATGAAGGAAAAGTCAATTTGTTAGCCAAGTGTTATGCGGATGGCAGTGCTGATACCAACCATACCAAAGAATTTCTAAAGAACAAGAAGACCTTCTACACCAACCACACTCTAATTCATCACTCGCCCTTAGAGGACGAACGGGATCTTAACGCCCTCTTCACCCTCGATGAGCTGAAGAAAGCACTGTACAGTAAGAAAGACAGCGCTACTGGTGAAGATAATATCAAGTACAGCATGTTAAAAGAGTTACCAATGGAAACGTCTACAGTTCTACTAGAATTATTCAACAAATCATGGTATAATGGTACAATTCCGGAAAGTTGGAAAACGGCAATGGTCATTCCTCTACCAAAACCGCAGAAAGATAAAAGTCTATGCAGTTCATACAGGCCTATTTCTCTGACCTCGACACTATGTAAAACATTTGAGACGATGGTCAATAATAGACTTAGATACCACTGTGAATTAAATGGTCTTATCGATCCCAACCAAAGCGGCTACAGAGAGAAACGGTCAACAATGGATCAAATCGTTCGACTTCAACACGACATGGCCGCCCAACTCGGAAAGAAAAACTACTTCAGTGCAGTATTCCTGGATCTGTCCAAGGCCTTTGACTTAGTCTGGGTTGATGGTTTGCTTTTTAAACTTAATAAACTTGGCATTCGGGGTCGCATGTTCAGGTGGATCCAAGACTTCTTATGGGATCGCCAGATACAAGTGAACGTCGCCAATTCTCCCAGCGAGAAGCACTCGTTGGAGAATGGCACCCCGTAAGGCTCTGTTATTAGCCCTACCCTCTTCAGCATTATGATCAATGATCTGGCCCTGGATTATGTAAAGCATATAGAGCTCTCGGTTAGCACGGCTCTACATGAAGATGATAGTTCGATATGGACTGGTCACACTGACCTCAATAAAGTTAAATGGCGTATGCAAACTGCTCTGAACCAAGTTGCTAAATGGACAAACGACTGGGGCTTCATTATTTCAGAAGCTAAAACCGTCGGTTTGTTCTGCAGCAGAAAGAAAGATCACGACAGTATTGACCTTAGACTGAATGGTGTGAAGATTAAGCATGAGAATTCAGTAAGGTTCCTTGGAGTACACTTTGACAAGTGTCTGACTTGGAGTACGCACATTGACTATATCTGTAACTACAAAAATCTTAAATGTTATGCGTTATGTTTCAGGTACCACATGGGGAGCAAACAGAGAAACTCTAATGATGATGTACAGGTCACTGGTTCGTTCAGTTATTGATTATGGTTGTATTGCCTATGGTAAAGCAAGTGATACTCAACTGAAGAAACTCGACGTTCTACACACGAAAGCTATACGTATTGCCACCAGGGCAGCCGTAGGTACGAAGAATGAGGCGCTACTTCAGGAGGTGGGAGAAACCCCTCTCTCTTCGGAGGGAGGAACTATCTCTCAAATTCTGGGGGAAACTTCAGTATTTGTCCGAAAGCTGTCCAACGTATTCCAGCATCAGAAGATTTACTCGTGTCGGAAATAACCAGAAGAATCGGAGTATTTCTTACGGGCAAGCGGTCACTGATCTATTGAGAGAGCATCAGCTCGATCAAGTAACGATCCTTGAACGACGCCTATCGGCTACTCCGTTTTGGAAGGTTACCAACCCGACAGTCAACACCCAGCTGATCCAGAGTACCAACAAGCGCGAGAACACAGTAGGAGCAAGAGCTCGCGCTCTTGATCTCATTGATTCCGTGTACGCCGACCATTTGAAGATCTACACCGACGGTTCCAAGAGTAGTATCTCAACAGGTTACGGTTTGTGCATCCCAGCAAAAGGCATCCGCATCAGTAAAAGGATCCCCCCGCACTGTTCAGTGTTCACTGCAGAACTTCTTGCCATCAGGGACGCGGTAGCATGGCTGTCCGTCAATCACACGGAGCATGCCGCGATTCTATCCGACTCGCTAAGTAGCCTCCAATCTTTCTCACCTATTCTAATTGCAGGTCAGAATTTATTTCCGAAATAAGAAGAATGATCCACAACTACCAAACCAACAACGACCAGAAGATTGAATTGGTATGAGTTCCATCGCACGTCTCCATTCCTGGCAATGATCAAGCAGACCGTTGTGCCAAGGAAAGTCTGAGTCTGGAAGATATCGAGCCTGTAGAATACTCCTATTCGGAGTTCTGCAGTATCGTATCTTCTAGGATCAACCAGAAATGGGCCGACATGTTACGGCATGTAGCCATCTGCAAAGTGGCAACCAGACTCCGGACCAACAACGTACTACGAGACCATCAGTTCAACGCCATTAAATGTCGCTGCGGCCACGTCGCATGTCCTCATTCAATGCACTGAACTGAAACCCGCTCGTAAGCCACTGCTAGAGTACCTGGAAACCAACGGCATACCACTCACCATACAGAATGTTTTGGCTCCACCCACGGACCACTGGTATACGATAATGGAACTAGTCTTCTATTTTATAACCAAATCTGTCTTGAACAAATAGGCTAAGTTTTTATACTCAAAGTTTCTTAACACTTTTTAATTATATCCAATCAATTTAACAAGTTTCATTGCAGAAACATCAGAGAACATCCCTCCCCCTTTTGTTGAAAGCCTTCAAATGGTAATTGTTTCCAACAGTCCCACAACCCTTCATATCTTTTGGTTTCTGCAATAGTAGATCTGACTCAGATTTATTCTATTACAATATTTGCATAAATTGACCAATAAAGAATTCTATCCAATGAATGCCATTGAAATAATCTGCAACCCACTTCAAAAATGGATCTTTATAACAAACTACAAGAGTTTCAAATTTTTATTCATGTCATAATAAATTCACAGTTAACCAACACCAGATGACAAGAAAGCAGGGTGTCCAATGTGGTATATGATGCAAGATTATCAATACAGTACAAAAGAAAAGAAGTGAATACCACACATGACATCTGATAGTGTTTTCTCGTCCTTCATTTTCTACTGCACTGTACATTGAAACATAATTGATAGTGAACAACCTCGAAAGCATAATAATGACAAAATAATGACAAAATAACTGATCCATTCTAAAAATCTAGCCATTACACCACTCAATGAAGCAAACACATTGTACTGATTTGAAAGTTTGATATATTTAATGACCTTGATCCTGTTCAGCTAAAGCATTAACTTAATTTATATTGAAAACTATTGTAATGCCAATTTGGTTAGGCAACTGTTGTACTGAACACTTCTAATCTCTCATCAATCTCATGCTGCTCTCAGTCACTCTCAAAATGGGTGCTAGTTAAACAATGACAAACTGAGATTCATCTGAACTTGTTCTTGTTACAGAGAAAAAGATAAAGATTTATCTTGGACTAGTTGAATGAAAGGCATGATAGCATGATATAATGTAGAATTTTGTGGAATATTTTCAAAGGAACATAACCCCCCCTTTTTTTTTTAAATATTGACTCATATGACTGGTTTTGGGACCAAGTTCAATAAAATTCAGAACCAGAAATAATGAATTATGGCAGTTAAAATTTATATGTATTAAGCATGGAGTGTTAAAGATATTTTCCACATGATGAAAGAAAGATATGACATTTCATATTAGAGTGTTAAATTTAATAAATAAAGACAAGAGAGGACCCTTCAGCCTGGATAATTCTGTTACAGTTTCCATATTGAACAACCATGTTTCACAGTTCTCTGAAAAAAAAAAAGATTTCTAAATTAACAAAAGTTTGATTTGTAATAAGCAGCAAGGTAATAATACTGTGTTATAATAACACTCCACACTTGCATTTGTGAAGTGAGCGTTTGAAGTAACAATAGACCTACAGATGAATTTTAAAATGACTCAAAATGTATGCTTGTGTGCCTGCTCATGTCAATGACAATATTTGTTAAACCAATCAGACTTGATTCCATATAGTGATATTTGCTCTTAAATATTCGCTACCTGTGCCCTTACGTAATCAGGCATCAAAATTCACTCACAATTTTAATTGACATGATTGGATGCAAAAATTTGCTCATCTGCCCCTAGAATTATAATTCTCTGCAAGATGATATCTCATGGAGGTGTTTATAAGGGATGTACCTGACTATGCTTTTGCAGACTTGGGTGGTTTTCGGAGATAATGATAATTTGGTAATATTTTAGATAAAAAATCTATTTGTAGACCTTGAGCCTGAAAAAGAGATGAAAAACAACAAATGTATAAATTATACACACAGAATAGTTTGAATTTGCATTTACATAATCAACAAATTTTTCACATATTTTGTTAAGTCAAGGGCATAAACTATAAAAAAAAGAAGACTGTTGATATCAGACATCTAAGGTCTCATTAATACACATAAGCATTCAAAGCTCAATAAGCTAGTGTAAAAGGGATTGTAAAGTGGTTTTATAAATTTGTATCAGGGATACTGATGGCATCCATTTGCATCATTTGAAATTTGAATCAGATGTCTGTGGTTCCTGCAATTCCACTTAAACTTAATTTTTAATCGCGAATACAAGCTTATTTTGCAATTAGTGACGTCATCAAACACTTTGGTTTAGTGGAATAGCAATTATGGATGTCAACAATACATACTGGTGGTCGTTCTCTTTGGAATCTCCTTTCACATTTACTACCATATATTACAGTATTTTCTGATAGTACTTCATTACTAGTAACATTACACATAGCACCAATAATACATCCATTACTTACTTCTACATTATTACCTACATACGCTGAAAATATTTCAAACTTAATTATCAAATGAATTAATAAAGTTTTATTAAAGGGGAATACCCCTGAAAATATATGTATTTATAGTCAGCCCTGTTGTTAGGGTGGGGTCCGTTGGGGCTGGGCCCCAGCAAATGCAAATTAAGTACCAGCAAAACCTCCTTCAGTTCCACAGAGATTGATTCATTTACAGTGTCTTATACGAAATCAAAAAGATATAGATTTTGCTACTTTTTTGGCAGTTCAAAATTGTCAGAAATAAGTTCTGTGGGCCTTTAATTATTCATATTTTCTGAGTACAAAATCTGAGCCCCAGCACCATTTCATTCCTTGCGACAGGGTTGTTTCTGGTAGAAAGTAAATTTCAATGTCAGCTATCAATATCAGTTAACATAAATCAATTTTCAATTCAAGTTACTCAACAATAAAAAAAAAATAAAACATTTGGTCGAAAAAGTTATATTAATATAATATAACATACCTCTGGATTCTATAATATTATGATCTCCTATCTTCAATGAATCAACAACTAGATATGGTTAATGAAAAATATATGCTTACAGGTCATAGGAGTTTTGTGAAATAGTTTACAATATTTCCAAAGGCAGTAATTAAGATTGAGTCAAAAGAAATTTATTGACACAGTAAGCCAAATGCAGATCATGAAGTTTTATTATGTGTTTCATCTGAATGACTCTACTCTATTGATCTGACTTAATTATTTTCTAAATCTGGTTCAATCGAATATTTCTCATTAGAGTCAAACTTTTTCATATTCTAACCAATCAAAAAACCATGTTAAAAGAGGGTAGAAATTACAAGGCAAGGATTCCTTTCAATTCCTTAAATTATAGTAAGGTAATCTTATTCAACAGAGCTCTTGAATGGTTGAATATCATATGACCCTGAAAATTATATGCATAACAATTTCATCAGATCTTGGATGGCAAGAAAGATGTCCATAAATATAGGTAACTTTTTCAGATAATCTGATTTATTTTTTAAAACATGGTATATAAAAAAAAGGATACTGGCACCAACTTCAACCACATTATTATTTCCAACTATCAGAACTTGGCCTTTATTAGTTTGTTGTTCATTTATATTGGGCGACCTGAAAAATCAATGTTCACAATACATACAACCATTAAAGAATGTATTGTAGAATGAGAAACATGAATCTATGATGTACATGCATATATCAACAGGAATATGAGCATTATTAGATATTTGAGTCGTTTTATGTAGTGTAAGTTTACACCAATATGTTTATATTACTCATATTCTTGTGGTCTGCAAAATAAATGCGGTTTCACACCATCAAAGTGATCTGATATGTTGACAGATGAGGGGATTTGGATAGAGGACACAGGAGTAAACATATTCACCTGTTTCTGATTTCTGCTAACTCTTCAATGATATTAAAATCTCCAATGACAATAGGTCCTGCTTCAGCTATTATCTTAGATTTAGGGTGAATAACAGTTCTTGAACCTTTCAAAATAGATGAAAAATATTTCAATTATAAATTTAAATATCATGACAAAATAATAATTCAAGAATTGGAGAAAAAAAAATAGATATACATGTAATCTATATCCAAAATTTAACAAATTCAGCAAGTTAAACACTTCAATGAACTAAAGTGAAAATAATTAATTATAGCTTGTAACCACCAATGGATTAAAAAATTGTTAGATTATTATTCTTTGATTAACAATATTTGAACTCTTGAACATATTCAACCAGGTTTTAATTTTGAATTTCCATTTTGAAAACTAGAAGAGACATTCTTACCAATGGTTATATCTCCTACCAAAGTACATTCATCACAAACAACAGCATCTGGGGCAATCTTAATACTACAATGGAAAATAAATAGAAAATTCTGCAACATATTCATCATTCTGCATCTACTTAACTTACATGCTAATAAAAAGGTTAAATATGGCATTAAAACAGGAATTTCTTTATATGTTAACAAAAAGGAAACAAAACAGTTTAATTTGTAAAACCAATATATTAGCAAGAGGCGTATTTTAAATACATTCGTGAACATAAAGATTTATTGCCGAATTTTGTCAAAATTAAAAATCTGAATTTTTTTTTGTCTCTTCAAATATTCAATAATTAAAATTGGTTTGTTTCGATTTTCTATATATGTAAATCCCTCACTTTGATCCATATTTCATTAGTAGGCTAACCAACTCGACAATGACTGCAAAATGTGTCACCTACTTTCATGTACAATGTTTGATCGTGAAAACACGTTTTATGGATAGCAAGTGGTATAAATAATCATCTTTTCTAAGCATTTATCTTGAATAAATAACTAATGCCAAATGCTTCTAAGATCGATGACTTTACAATTTTTCTAAGTGACTGAAGAAATAAGTCAAGTAAAACGTAAGAGTTATTTATTGAAAATGCATAGAAACAACATAAGATAATGGCCCACATTGTGTTCCATAGATTATTTCTGCTGAAATGAAATTTGCTAGTTTGTTCAGTGGATGAATGGAATATACTCTAGCAGATGACAGTTGGAATTTCGATTACAGTATGGGATAATAAAGAAATTAAGCCGATAAAAAATTTTGATAATTGGTAATAACTAATTCCCTCATTCAAAATCAAATCACAATCCGACTCACGTCAACTAAATTGTCAAGATAAAATCGTATTTTTTATTGTTTTTAACTAACCTGCCCTTGTTGACAGCCGCCATGATGAACGACCTTGAACCTTACAAATTTAACCAAAACGGACATACCAGGTCGGATGGACGATTGATCTCGGCGCTTAAATAATACAAATATCAATCGTTTCAACTAAACGAAGACTTTGTGAACTCTAAGATATCTTGATTCTTGATGCATACCTCTATTGATGAAGAAAAAATGGTAAAATAAGATTTTAAGAGGAGAATGGAGCAGAAGGGATGCCACCTTTCAGATCTCATATCTGGCGATTTGGCATGTGTGTAAGTTTATTCGTCTTAAGTAAAATTCTGAATAAAAATTATACTTTTAATTTATAAATTTTACTGACAATTTTATAGAGAGGAAAACCTTTTTCAAGAAATAATATTTAAAATTACAATGTGATGTAGGCCACCCTGTATTGTTCACGGAAATGTTCGTGAGATCACGTGGTCAAAACCTATAAAGACCATACTCGTCCATTTCGTCATCAATAACAAGCGTTTATCGGCTAAGTCAATTTGGAGGAGGAGATGTTGAAAGCCGCAGACGCAATAATTGTTGACGAACAATTTGGACCGTTATCTATAGATAATATGCCTGCTTTAGACAGCACGAACATGTAAGATTTTGATTGAGTAACCCAGATTTTCAGCCCGTTTTATGTCTTGAAGTAGAAATGTCAACACGCAAATAATAAACAATATGGCGGATCTCTCATATCACTTCAGTTGAGTTCCTGTTCAGAAGAAAAGTCTTAGAAATATAATTTGATTTTTTAACTTTCAGCCTATTCCGTTGTAGGCCTATCCTAAAATAATTTTAGACTTATACTATTATTTTCTACCACTTAGTCTTTTTTGTTTTAGTTTTCTGTCTAAGATGATGTCTTAAGAACAATTAATCACATTTTGTCAATTACTTTGTGTCATAATATAGGCTTAAGACTAGATAGAATAGGCTTTCAATTTGGCAAGCCATTTCGGCTAGTCATTGAAGAATTGAAATATCAACTCCAAAATAGTGTTGGGAGTCTCCCTTGTCTTCTTGTTAATGGAAATGCTTACCAATCGAAAAATGTGATTTTACCATACCGGTACTTCGAATTATGATGAGTCATTTTCAAAATTTTAGGGAAGGTACTCCTTAAGGCTTAAGAGTTGGCTAATAAATCGAAATTATTTTTTATCAATGCCATGGATTTTTAAGTTTAAATAGTTGAAATATTATGTTTGTTAGGTCAATCATCCAGTAGTAATCTCAGTAGTTTCATTCCAATGGTTTCCACCAATTAATCTTAATGATTTAAATCCCAATTATAAGTGACTTCCTCCTCTAATAAACTAATTAAGAAGTTGTCGGCTGTGGATCAGTTTTGAAATGTGTGATGTTTTCATTAGAATGAATAAAGCAGTCATTGCAATTTGCAATTGATTGCTTTGATATTGTTGATAATGTATAAAATTTACATGAACACATGGAATTGTCAGGATCTTATGATTAGACTAGAAAGGTTTTTTGTCATAGTCAGTTTGGGTATAATGTATTAGAAAAGATTTGTAGTTATAAATGAACCCACTGATTATCTACAATTTTCACTGCTATTTTGGAGTTGTCATTTTTATATGCCCACACGTAAGATGGGCGTATATTGTAATCACCCCGTTGGTCCCTTCACATTTGGCTCGTGCTCACTCTACAGGCTACAGTTCTTTATGGATTCTTTTGATTTTTATTTTGTATGTCAATGTTGTTATGAAGATGATCCCTATTGATTTTCGTGATGATCGGATAATTTTTCACTGAAATATCGTGTCTGACTTGATGTTTTTCTCTATTAGCTATATTGTGCAACTCGTGCTCACTCTGCAGGCTACAATTTTTTACAGATTCTTTTGATTTTTATTTTGTGTGTCAATGTCATTATGAAGATGATCCCTATTGATTTTCGTGATGATCGGATAATTTTTCACCGAAATATCGTGTCTGACTTGACGTTTTTCTCTATTAGCTATATTGTGCAACTCGTGCTCACTCTACAGGCTACAATTCTTTACAGATTCTTTTGATTTTTATTTTGTATGTCTATGTCATTATGAAGATGATCCTTATTGATTTTCATGATGATCTATCGATTTTCATGATGATCGGATAATTTTTCACCGAAATATCGTGTCTGACCTGACGTTTTACTCTATTAGCTATATTGTGCAACTCGTGCTCACTCTACAGGCTACAATTGTTTACAGATTCTTTTGATTTTTATTTTGTATGTCAATGTCATTATGAAGATGATCCCTATCGATTTTCGTGATGATCGGATAATATTTCACCGAAATATCATCTGACTTGACATTTCACTCTATTGGCTATATTGCGCAACCCTGTAGTCACTAAAGACTGTTTAATCATTTCTGACAGCTGCCAGTGGGCGTATGTTACCTTGCCTGGCAAGCTATCTTTAATTCATATGAAAATTTACCTTTTGGATGAACATGAATCCAAAGGGACTACTTAATGAATGTATCATCTTATATTTAATATCTTTCCAAGGACCCAAGGATGTTCTTAACCTTCATGCTTTTTCACATGGACTTTTATATTTTAGGTTACCCAGCAATCGGTTTTGTATAACGATCGGTCCAGACCCAGTGCAGTGCTCCTGATGTTCCCCATGCCGTCAACATGTCATTCGTGGCAGAGGGCAGCGGCGTGGGGGTTTTAAAAGCGCCCCCTGTCAATGGTGTTGGTTTGTTCTTAGACAACAGAACATTTACAAAATCATCAGCAGTAAATTTGAGTTTTAAGATCCGACTAATGGAATCACATGAGAATTTTTGGGAGACAATTCTTATTGATGGTAAATTGTATGTGGAGTTACCTGGAGGTATTCTTCCTGAAGGATCCAAAGAAAGGTAATATTCTGATCCAATATTGCGAGTTTTTATTTTAAGGATCTCTTAGTAGCTGTACATTTTTATGGTACATTTCTCATTGATGGAAGACATTTTGCACAAATCTCAAAATTGTTATTTAAATTTGAACAAAAAATAACGGTGAACTATTTAAGCATACAATATATTGGGACGGCTTATTTACTCAAAATTTATTTGTTATTCTTAAGTAATCTTATTGCTTTTTAGCTTGATCACTCTCTTGGAGTATGCAGAAGAAAAGTTAAATTGCACCCATGTTATATTGTGCTTCAAGAAGAACAGAACAGATCGAGGTATGCTATAGTTTTGTCGAATAAGATCAAAGTTGGAGAGTTGGTTTTGATATTGGTCTATCCAAGTTTTAAAGGTTAAGAATCTAAACTGTACTGCAAGTTATTTGTTTATGGACCAAACCAATGTACTTGCTCACAGAAGTCCACAAGAACCTTTTACATTTTAGTTGTTCTGTTGGATAAAGACATGCATCTTATATGAATTTCTGATTTGTGTGTATTTTGTTTAATTGCAGCCAATCTGATGCGAGTTTTCAGCTTCTTTGGATTTCAATTAGTACCACCTGGAGATGAGCTGGTTCCAAGAGTCGAAGAATTGATGTTTATGGTCTATGTCATTGATGCTGATGATTTTTAAATGGGAGTTTCTAGTATACCAACCCACTATTGATGTTTCACCTTTTAATATCCTATATTAATCTATATACACTTTCAAAATTTACTGAAAAAATATCTGGGGCAGATCAAATAAATTATGGGGGGTCAAGTAAATTTTTGCACTTGTTTTAAATTTGGAATGAACAACATATATTTGCTACTAATTGAACAATACTTGATTTTGGGGATGATTTATCTTTTTAAACTTTTATCTCTCTGCCACGTATGTACATGTACCAGCAAAAAACTTTTATAAAATGAAAAAAAAAAAAGAAAAAAATTTTTAAAAAGAAAAAAATAAGCATGTCTTATTGTTGTATATTCTATATTATAATCGTGTAGCTGTAACCAAAATTCCTTTTCTAGTTTTAATTTTAACTCAAATTTTCATTTTCTTTTAGAGCGTCCGTCAAATAGTTTTTGTCACATTTAGTTAAATCTTTCTTTAAGAGATTCCATTCATGAATTCCAATCATATTTGTTATTCAACCATTTTTTTTTTTAAAGCAGTCAAAACTGTCAAATTGTTACTCATTTACAGTCCACAAATTCCTTCATTTATCAATCTATATATTGTGTTTATTTTTAAAGCTGGTACAAATAGTATGGTGTATTCATTAATAAATAGATTTTAATTTCAAATATTTTTTCATTGCTATATGTATAGTGTGGGAAAGTAAACTGAGGTCCTCTACACGCAAATGATCTCTTAGGTTGTAAATAGAAAAAGCAAGAATTGTCTCATTGTACACTGCATGGCATATCTTCAATTGCATACAAGTAATTGACATGGTTCACAACAAGACATTTTTAAACCTCTTCACTGAATGTATTATCTATTCAGTTTGTGGAAACTGTGAAAAATGCCCAATAGAACCTGCTGTAAAACTAATAACTACCAAAATATGACTTGGAAAGAATCAACATGTTTTACCACATTAAAAATAACAAAACTTTGATTATTTATTGAGCAAATTTACATTCATATAAATTGCACAATAGAAATGAGACAAAATTATTAAAATTAAACATCATGATTTTGTCTTGTAAGTACATTCTCAAGTTAATATATTACTTAAAAAACATCTGTGACAGTGCCCACAGATCCTTTACTACAATTCCAGAATTTTCCATCTCATCTTGAGCAACATTCACTATAAAACCGTGTGATTTTTCGCTTTCATTTGCAACCTGCCATAAAGCCTCTATGTCTAATAATACAGATGAAATCAAATGACTGTACAATTTTTGATCTTATTTTGGTTCAATCTTTCAGAATATGGACCTTCATTAAGAAAAGAAAAAGTAGTCGTATTGAAAATGCGTAGAAAGAGAAATACAGGCAGAAAACTCAACACTAATAACTAAACATGTATATTAAACTATTAAAATTGCATTGACAAGGGGAATGTGGTACCCTTACTAGAATAAACAACTAATAAAATACATTGCATTGAAATGCATTTGGTAAAAATGTTCACAAGCAGAACTAATTAGGTACAAATGGGTACAATTCAAACATAAACAAAGGCAATCAACTAAAAGTAGTTTAAATAGTAATATAGTAGAAGTGAATTGTGTCTACACTTTGTTCGGACCTCTTCTTAGTGTATTCACTTCTTACATATTCTATTGTGTTCTACCGTATATTTGTCTTAGTTCAGAATTATATTGTGACCATCACTACCAAAAAATAATTATGTTTAGACTTGTACCCAAATATCTGCATCACTATACAAGTTTGTTAAAAATCTCACAAAAGGCTTAAAAATAATGATGAAATAAATAATAAGAATTCAAATAAAAACCAGTTATAAATAAACAAAACCAATAAAAATGTCGTTTAAATGCATTCATCATCACATAAGAAACTTGAAAAAATTGTGACAAAATATGAAAATTCTTAACAAAATATCAAATGGAAATTATAATCCATGCTTGAAATAGTTTTACGAAAATTTCTTATCAACAACCTCTCTTTTCTCTTCATTTTGAAACAAATTTTTTATTTCCTGCAGGGATGCAAACAATTCATCCATAAATTTAACAGAACTGGTTTGCGGGCATGATTTTTTGGATGAAACATGAAAGAAGAATTTATTGTTGCCTGGTATCATATAGGAAACACCATACCCATCATCAGATACAGGACCAAACCCTCCTCCTGGTGATAGCTGAAAATAAAAAAAAAATTAATCCTTTTGTCATACAGATAAATAACAGAGAAGGGGGGGAGGGGGGGGGGGGGGGGGTGGGGGGCT